TTTTAAATCATAAAAATTTTATAAGTTTTCTTTGTCTAAAAAATATTTAAACTGTATAAAAATTTTTATTTAAAAACTACCTGAAAGTATTATAGTAAATAACTTATAAAATTTTGTAACAAAAGCTGATCTGGCTGGGTTATGAAAAACAACTAATTAACTTTATATGCCTTAGATATGTTTATCTTTTTCTATATTCAATATAGTAATATTAATATTAACGTTAATGTTAAGCTCAAAAAATATTATACTATAGAACTTAAAACTAGTCCGAATCTAGTAAAAAAAATTATTTATTTATAATGTTTTCAAATCAGATAACCACTTAATACTATTACTATCTATATACTATGTATTATCAGTTTTGAGAGATTCAACAATATTTTAAGTATCCTAATTAAGTAAATACTGTTGAACCTCCCAAAACTGATATGCATAGTAAACAGATTTTGTATTAGTATTGAAAGATTATCAAATTTGAAACATTATATAAACTATAACAGAAACAGGTTAATTCTTAACAGGTTATCAATTTTGAGAGGATTGATTTTAGAAGATTCAACAGTATATTGTTAAATATTTACCTAGCTGCTTGATACTCTCCAGTAGAGTCAGAAACAAAAGCTTTAATCTTTATATTCTTGCTTTGGGCATTAGTCATTAAATTTTCTATAAGTCATATAACATCTTCTGTGTGTGACCTTTGTGAACTAATTTTTTGTGCTTCCCAAACTAATAGTTGTTCCTGTGAAGTAATCAAAACCACACCCCAGATATGTTTACGCTTCATATTAGTCTAACTATCGAATGATGCAGTAACACCATTTTCATCATATTGTGCAGTTTTTAAAATTTCATCTTGCAGATTTTTTGATGCTTCAGTTAAAACTCTACCTCCTAACATTCTACATTTTGGCAAATTAAAACCAGGCATAATAAAGTCAAACAATGCTTTTGTTTCTTCATTTTCTATAAAAGAAAATGAAATTCCATTGGAAATACACATTTTAAGTACTAAGTGTTCAAAATAAGGTATGTCTTTGCTTGATAATGGACGCTGAAAACAATTAGATGTTTTACTAATATCTGAAGTATCAGTAGTAATTTTTTGGTGTTTAGAAGATAAACTATGACTTCCATCTTTCATTCAATTATAAAATAATTAATTATTGCTGTATAGTAATTGTTAGTTATACCGTATTGCATCGAAATAACACTCTGCAGTATAGTTTAAAATTTAGCTAAATTGGGCTTAATTTAGGCCAAAATTTTAAACTATACCCAGAGTGTTATTTTGAGACAATACGGTATATAATTTAAGTGTTTTACTTTTATTTAAGATTTTTTGCTTATCTTCAGCTACAGGCCATGCTAATATTTTAGCTATTTCATTTTCAGTAAATGATGTCTTAAAGTTTTCACACTTAGCTAGATGATTTCAGCACAAATTGGCTTTATTCGTTGTAAAACACTCATGTTTTAATGCTGCTGCTTGAATTCCTCCATTTTTAAGTGTACAAAACTTACACACTGCTTTTGCATTTGATTTATTAGTTGGATTATCAACTAATGTGAAAAATTCTCGAAAATTATATGGTTTAGGCATATTCATTGACGATTTATTTTTGATTATAATAGACCTGGATATTTATATATTTTTTCTAAAATCTTGTGATTAATTGTTATTAAATCTGAGTCTAATATATTAAATATATTAGACTCAAATTTTAATATCTGTGATAATTAAATTATCTAGCGATAAGTTTGTCTACAACCTCTGATACTTTTTTATTTGCCAAATTTTGAATTTCGCTACTATTATCTTTATTATCTTATCCTTATAGATTAATTACCTCATTGCTACTATGACTAATTGATTCAAATAAATTGTGTTATTAACTTTTAATTCTGATTAAATTATGTAGATCATGTGTACAAGAAATTAACGATCGATGAGCGGCTCAAACAAATACTCACTACTGAAGCTAAATTTAAATATTATATTGATAAAGGTTTTCTAATATCACATATTGAATAACTAATTTGTTATGGAAACTAAAAGTTGTATATGTAGTAGCTTTTTTAATTATGGTAAGTATAAAGATCATAAATTTATCTATTTAAAATAATGCGAGCTTATTAATACTTTCTATTACATAATATCTTATTCCATTCATTAATTTAATATATTGTACACATATATATATATATTTAATAATTATTCAAATTTATTAATATTTATTATACATAATTATTTTGTATTGTGCATTTTACACTTCTCTTAAAGTGCTAACCAAAAGTCCCATGAGTTGTATAGATAAGATGATTCTTACGATGGAAAATTATTTGTTCGATAGATCAGACTTTTACCTATTACAGTCTAGAAACTGTGCCTTTAAATTTGATACAACCTAATTTCAAGTTCTGTTTAAATCTTACATGCAGCATATTTTCTCGTTCCTGGACTCTTTAACTGCGTTGTGCAGCTATTTATAATGATAAAAAAATTACAATAACGCAAATTTATATAGAACTATTTTATTGAATAATCGGAAATAAATCCTACATCCCAATAGCATATCAATACATACATTTACTAAATACAACGCTCCAACATCTTCCGTTTCTCATTTTGCATGACAACATCGTGCAACTATCTTGTTTAGTATGAATACAAATTTATTCAAGATCTATTAATTTGAATAAAATGTATAAATTAGTGTTTGTACCCGATCAAAAAAATACTACCCGGGTTACCCGACGGGTGAACTCGCAGGTTACCCGAGTAATCGAC